GTGTCCAGCAGTAGTTGTGGAGGGTCAGTTCTTTGCATCTTCTCAGTGAGTGTTAATATGACCTGGAATACTAAATCTGAAATTTAAGACTTTTAAAAATGACAGAAACTATGTTCATATAATGGCATCATTTGCAGCTGATGTTACTGTGCTGCGTTTGAGCCTGATGACTACGATGGGAGAAACGATGGTGGGCTTCTCTGCAGACAGGACCCTGGCTTGGGCTGCTGTGGTTCTTCAGTCACGAGACACAGGAAGAGGTGCTCTGGGCCACATGTGACCTAGCAGGATCCTACAGACCTCCCTTCACTAGATGAGATCACAGGAAGTCCTCAACGTTAAAAACCTGTCCTCTGAACGTGAACCGGAGAACCCAGAGATCTGCACAGTGGCTCTGAGTCTCTTTACCGGCGAGCACCAGCTATTGAGGAGCTCTGCCCTGACCAGAACAGAGATACTTAAAAGGATGAAGATGGTTTTTCTTCGACGTCTGTTTGGTGTCATGATCCTGAGCTCATTTGAGGGTAAGGAAAACTTCATAAAATATACAGTGTAATTACTGACACAGTGACTAATGCACTCTATTGTCCAGTCAGTCAGTGTGTCTGTATTAACCCCTCTCTCTCAGTGCAATGTTAATGTACTGGTGTGTCCAGTCAGTCAGGGTGTCTGTATGAACCCCTCTCTCTCAGTGCAGTGTTAATGTACTGGAGTGTCCAGTCAGTCAGTGTCTCTGTATTAACCCCCCTCTCTCTCTCTCCAGTATCCAGCTCTCCTCTGTCCAGGAGCTCTATAGTGGGGGGTGAGGATGCTGGTGAGGGGATCTGGCCCTGGCAGGTCTTCCTCAAGATGAAGAATACCGATGGGCGCAACGGCAGTTGTGGGGGCTCACTGATCAGTGACGTCTGGGTGCTCACTGCGGCTCACTGTTTAGACAGGTGGGTGAGGAGGGGCCAGTGTCTGACTGTGTCTGTCTGTGGAGCTTCACAAACTGCACCAGGGATCTCCTGAGGTTCACGGTCTTGTTAGAGGTATTCATCATCTCCTTGATCTTCTTGGTGAATTGGAGCCCAAGTGTGCAACGCCCCCTGAGGGGTGGGTACTGTACTCTAAGCCCCTTTAAGAGCACTGAAAAGGGGACCTAAGGTTTTCAAAACAGGTCACTTTTAAAAAGAAATACTTAGTGAGACAAAGCTCCATCGACCTCTTTGACAGGAAGGTAGTAGCTTCTTGGTCTGAGTGTCTGATCCAGTTATTTCTTGAGAGAAGCCAGGGTATCGGCCCCAACAACATGGCTGGTCAGTTTGCTACACACCCCCGCCACCCTCTGTGTAAAAGAGTGCCTCCTGTTCTGTGTTACAACCATAGCGTCTGTCGTGCTGTAATAAGAGTGAGAAATAGCGCCCCCTGTGGTAACATGCCTCTTCCTGTACTTTCCCTTCAGCCTCTTCTACCCGACATCCTCGGTTGTGTACCTGGGCGCATACCAGCTGGATAAGGCCGGCTCACACCAGGTGAACCGCACCATAGCCGATGTGGTCATCCACAGCAAGTACACCATCCCAACCAAGGGCTACGACATCGCCCTGGTGAAGCTGGATCGCCCCGTGCCGCTGTCCCGTTTCATCCAGACTGTCCCTCTGGCCGAGCCCTCGGACCTCTTCACCAGCCGCAGTGACTGCTGGGTCACTGGCTGGGGGCGGGTCCAGCAGAACAGTAAGGAGAGCTGACTCTTTTTAGCCTCTGAGAGAGCTGGGCTGCAGAGCAGCACAGTGTAGAGCAGTCCTGTCTGTCACTAGCCAATCACGTTGCAGGATAGTCTGTCTCTAACCAATCACAGCAGTCTGTCTGTCTTTATCCAATTACAGTGTAGGACAGCCTGTCTTTAACTAAGCACAACGCTGGGCTGTAGAGCAGCACAGTGCAGACTGAATCACACAATAACACTCCAATCACACAATATCATTCCATTCACACTTCAAATGCACAATAAAACAAGTACACAGTCATACAATCACACTCATATCACAATATCACACAATCACATTCCGATCACACAATCAAATTTAAATCAGAACATAATAAAATCAGGATGAGCTATTGGGTCATCTTGTACCCCTACAGTCCAGAGATCTGTCTTTCAGTCTGGGCTGGGTCATAATGAAGCCCTACGGTCCATTTAGTCTGAGCTTGGTCATATAGTAACCCTACAGTCCAGACATCACTCATTTAGTCTGGACTAGTCTGGACTGGGTCATATTGTAACCCTACAGTCCCGAGATCACTGGTTCAGTCTCCAGTAGCTCCCTACTCGAATGTCTTGAGCTTGAATCGGTCCCGGTTAGGGTCAACTTGCTGCACGGCAGTGTCACTGTGGCAGGCCTTGCAGTGCTGTCAGTAATGTCAAAGTTCTTCTGTTGCTACTGAGGGGATCTCAAATGCACAGAACCAGTTGACTCACTGAAACCACTGCTTGACCTCTGCTGACCTCTGAATTAACTCCACAGTGAGAAGTGAGAGCTGTCTCCTGGAGATCTGAGCAAGAGACAGGGGTCTCTGGGAACAGAGGTCAGGTCCTACGGTTTCGGTGAACACAGATGCTGAGCAAGTCATATAATTCCTGAACTCTCTCTCTCTCCTGTCCGCAGGCAGACTTCCCTTCCCTCGCACTCTCCAGAAAGTCAAGATTCCCATCCATGACCCGGAGTCCTGCAAGAACGTGTATCCGAACATGAAGACCAGCATGATCTGCTGTGGAGGTCAATACAAGAGCACCTGCAAAGTGAGTGTGGGGCCCTTTGTCGTTTGTTATTTGGTGGACATGCTTGTCTATAATCGTGTGAAGGGTGTAAATGTGGAGGGATGTGAGGCAGTTTGGTAGGAAGCTGATCTGACTCTTCCTTAGAACATTGTCCTCAGTAAGGAAGGTCAGTAAACGGGTATTCATGATCCTGCAGAACACCCTCCCCAGGTTACTGTTCACACAGGTGCCTCTGTTATTGTAAGGGTCAAGTCTGTTCAGGTCTCACGGAAAGACCCGGCGCTCAGTACCAGGCTGAAGGCTGGCCTGCTGCAGCTCCGAGCTTATGAGTCTCACCATCTCCTCGTTGACTCCAACTTGACCACAGATCACTCTTGGTCGAAAGGCCTGGAGTTTGTCTAATAGCCCCGGCCTTGAGCCCTCTCTGTCTCTCTGTCTCTCTGCAGGGAGACTCTGGAGGGGCTCTGGTCTGTAAGAAGGGAAACCGCTGGGTCCAGGCTGGGATTGTCAGCTACGGAAAGGGCTGTGAGACACCCATCCCCCCCAAGATCTTCACCCGCGTTTCCAGCTACAGGTCCTGGATCAAGATACATAGCCAGTAGTCTCTGATTCCGAGTGATGCCTTGTGAGGCTGAAATCAACACAGGCTTCTCGTTCTCCCCAAGCCCGCCTGTGGCTCCTTTCTGTGCTTTTTCTCTCACTGTGTCTTCTGTTGTGTGTGTGTATTACTGAGGGATTCTCAGTGATCTCTGTTTCTCACTGTGCATCCTGTCCTGTTGTGTAAGTTTTTATTACTGAGGAATTTTCTCTTGTCTCCTGTCTCACTATGTCTCATGTCGCTTTGCATTTTTATCACTTAGTAAATTTATCTCCTCGCACTCCTCGCACTCTGTTATAATTTTTAGCTTTGCTTTGCCTGCTGTGAAAGGGAGTGTAACTCTATCAACAGCTCAATAAAACTTCAAGCATTCAATCTCCTGGTCTAGGGACTGGACTGCAGTTATTCAGAGGTTAATCAGTCTGTTTCTCCCCAAGACAACGGGTCAAAGGTCAGTGTTCATCACCCAGTGGAAGGTCCTTCAGTGGGGACCCGAGGGTGTGTACCAGAACTTTACCTGATGACATCCTGACCAATCACCAGCTATGATGTCACACCTTATAGTCTGACACCCAACTCAGTTTTCATCGTTGAACTCACTGCCTCCTTTTCTCTCTCCAACCGATATAACCATTTAACTTTTCCTATCAAGTGTCTAAGAGCTTAAATTTTCATGGCTTAGACTTTTCTCCAAGACACCATGCCAAGAGAGTGAGTCAGTAAAAAAACAGAATTCTGCCCCAAAAAATGCATTTGGATTCTTTCTTTTTATTGATATCCTGAATACTCGAGCATATTCATACCAGGACGAACCGATCTCTCCCACCTGCCGGAAACCATGCAGCCAGACCCAAAAAGACAAGTATGCACAGACTCTGCACCCATGACCCTCATCTCTTGGCAGGAAGTTTGAACTCACCAAGGATGATTGGCCAACAGATCTTGGAGTATAAAACTTCTTTACTCCCATTATAATTCTCAGGAGATTAACTATTGTTCCAAACACATGATGTTAGTTCATGATAGTAAATGCATATTTACATGTATCTGAGAATATTGTTTCAAATGGGGGGTTATGAAAATGGAGAAAATCAGGATTTGACCGAGCGGTTTAGTCAACCAATGAAGTCAATCAGTGAAATAATTATTCACAACCCCCAACTTGTAAGTGATTTCTAGCAATATACCAGAGCAGTTGGTATAGTTAGAGGCATGTGAAATACTTGTTCTCTGGCACAGTTTTGTTGAGAGGAGTAATAATCCAGGCACACTTGGTTAAATAAACATTTATTACAATGAGAAGACACAAACTACACCACACGCAACAAAACATACAACACACACTGTTACACTTGAAGAAGGCTCCATGGCCGAATCGTTGTGTTTTCTCTCTTCTCTTTTCAGCATGGAATAAACCTATTACTTGTTCCAATGTGTTGGAGTGTCTCTTCCAGCCTTACAGAACATGAATAAATCAGATCGTTCCCATTGGAATCTGGGAAGGGATAGATTAAAGTGACAAAACCATAGGACGCTTTTTAAACGTTCTGACTGCCCCTTCGTGCTCAAATTCACTCGCCCAGGGCTCTCAAGTGAGGCTCTTAGTTTTTAGTTTTTATGTAAACATCAGAAACACAAAAAAGCAGACAAAATATTCAAACAGATACAGAAATAAAATACACCTCACAGCCAGAGGAATTCGAATTATGAAAGCTGAAAATGAAGCTTTTTACATAGTTCCCTCGCGCGTCTTGCCTTTTGATTCTTTAAATTTCTGATAGAAATGAAAAAGGAATTCTACCTTAAAAGCATGAACAGGGGGAGCAGAATTAGACCATTTACTTTTGTGCATAAAGTATTTTGCCAAACTAATTGACAGATTAATCATAAAAACATATCCTTTATCCAAATCACATCTAAAAAAATATAAAATAATAGCAGAATGTTTAAATTTAACATTTACCTTTAAATTAATGATTAAACATAGTACTTATTCCTTTCCAACATACGTGTTACTCTATGTGCAGTATTTACAGACAAGGCGTTTCAGAGGCCTAACATTCTGGTCACACAGAAAACCCCAGAAAACACCCCCCTCAGACCCACCCAGACATACACTGCACGCTCACAAGACTGTGGAGCTGCTTCTCCTCGAACAGATTTAGCTAAAGATCTGAGACATCCTGCTGCCTTTGCATCTGTCCCTTAAACACTAGTGTAGCATCATTCACGTAGAATATTGTTGACAGGTTTGGACACCTCTTTACAGGAAATTGTTTCTGCTCTAGATCCAGTCCTGAGAAGTGCAAGCAGATGCATTCTGGGAATAAGGGACAGCCCTGCACTGACTAGCTGAAGGAATTGAGTCTCTTTGGTCTGAAGGGAGTGTTCCACACTTACAAGCTGAAGGGAACTGAGTCTCTTTAGTCTAAAGGGAGTGTTCAACACTGACAGGCTGGAGGAGCTGAGTCTCTTGAGTCTGATGAGAGTGTTCAACACTGACAGGCCGAAGGAGCTGAGTCTCTTCAGTCTGAAGGGAGTCTCCCACACTGGCAACCTGGAGGAACAGAGTCTCTTCAGTCTGAAGGGAGTCTCCCACACTGACAACCTGGAGGAACAGAGTCTCTTTAGTCTGAAGGGAGTGTTAAACACTGACAGGCTGAAGGAGCTGAGTCTCTTTAGTCTGAAGGCTGTGGCTTTTAGTGGTGAGTATAGCTGAAGAAATGAACATTTTTTGTATTGAGCAGAGAAGACCAAGAGGGGACGTGATCCAAGTATTCAAAATCCTCCAAGACAAAGTCAACCCAGTGGACGTCTTCAAAAGGAACAGTAATCAGAGGACCAGTGGAAACTCCAGGGAAGAGCACCTGAAACAGAGAAGAGGAGACACTTCTTTACACAAAGCATTGTGGGAGTGCAGGCGGGTGAGAGAGCTCTCTGCTCTGCGGTCTCGTCTTTGTGCTGACAGCATGAGAGCTGCTGAGATAAGGAGTGTTCCATGAGCTGGGTCTCTGTCACAGAGATGATACAGAGATATCTGGGCTGTGTGGTTTGTCAGTACGCAGGACGAGGAGACGTGCAGAGCGATAGGCATCCTTCTGCACCTCACGTGAAACCCTGTGTCTTGTTTTGAAGAACACAAAATGGGTCACTGATGAAAGGAGACCATTCGGCCAGTGTAGCCTGTTTGTTCATGAGTAATTCATTGATCTGAGTGTCTCATCCAGCTGATTCTGGAAAGAAGCCATGGTATTGGCTGCTTGTTCCTTCCCCCCACCACCCTCTGTGTAAAAAAGAGCCTCCTGTCTGAACTGGAAGATCTCACCTAGCTGGGCCTTCCAGGGTATCAGCTTCAACAACAGGGCCAGGCAGCTTGTTCCACACTCCTACCCCTCTTTGTGTGGGTCCTAATACTCCAGTATAGTGACTGTAAAACAGTTGCCTTCCTTCAGATCAAACTTAAAACCGAGGTCCTGACTCTCTATGTTCATTACATTACAATGATCCCCATCTCTGAGCTGGCTTCATCACTCTGGTCTCCTCTCCACTGAGAGCTGGAGTTTGGTGAGAGTACTGGAGCATCATCCAGGTGGGGCTGCACACTGGTGGTGGTGAAGGGGATCCCCATTACCTATAAAGCGCTTTGAGTGCAGTGTCCAGGAAAGTGCTATATAAAAGTAAGTATTTTATTATCCAGTTGTTTCTTGAATTAGATCATTTAATCAAAATCAGAGGTATTACTTTACACAAAGGTTGGTGAAGGTGTGGAACAAGATGTCCAGCCATGTTCTTGAAGCCAATACCCTGTCTTCTCGGAAGAGTTGTCTGGATTAAATCTTGGCGTTAATATCGCAGTAATTTCTAAAAGGGCTATTAATAGTTTCACACTGGCCACTTGATCTTAATCTGTCCACAGAGCTGCTCTGACAGCTGCAGATGAGCAATACTAAGTCACAATGAGATTTCTCAGAAGTGTTAAATTATAGTGAACTGCGAGCTCAGTCTACTTCTTTGTGGTCTCATGTTGTTGTTTATGTATGCACCTCGTTATCTTGTTTGCAGGAATGATGCAATCTCTATCTCCATCAGATCTGATCAGCCGCTCAGTCTGATGAACAGCAGAATGATTATCTGACATAAGAACAGTGCAGTATCAGCACACAGCTCTGCTTCACACTATGGGTTACAGACAAATCAAGCCCCCACCTCAAATAGTCCAGATCATGGCCGGTCAGTGTGTCTGTAGCAGGGCTGTCCAGTTCCGGTCCTGCTGGGGTCAGTGTGTCTGCAGCAGGGCTGTCCAGTCC